GAGAGAGAGAATGGTACATTTCCTCCTCCAACTCATCCAAGGCTCTGGGTTCCCTAGTTGACAGCTACATGTCAGTCTAGGTCACGTTCCCTGGCGGAGGGCTCCCCGGGGCCAGCTCAGACGACCCAAGGGGCAGGGGGCAGGTCTACCCAGATGGGTATGCCTTGATGATCTTCACGTCGTCCACGGGGCGGTCCTGAGAGTTTGTCTCCACCATCCCCACTCGATTCACCATTCCTATGCCCTGGCACACCCGGCCAAAAATGGTGTGCTTGCCGTCGAGCCACTGGGTGGGAGCCAGGGTCACAAAGAACTGGCTGCCATTGGTGTCTGGCCCCGCATTGGCCATGGCGAGGATTCCGGCCCCTGGCAGGAGAAAGGAAGAGAAGGGAGGAACATGAACGGTCCCTGCCATGCAAGCCGGGGGGTGGGGTGGGGGAGCGGGGCTACTACAGCTTCCCAGGGAATGAAAAGGAGTCACGACATGGCCCGGCCTCTGATACTATCCGCGCAGGCCTGGCCAGCACCCTTAGGATAGCCCGCTGCTATCACCACTCCCCTGACACTCTCATCTCCCCTGTCCTTGCTACTCCTGGCCCCTCACCCTGACCATCCCCACTAACCACCAGGGTTGGTCTCCTTATTCCCCTCCAGGATCCGGCAAGGTCTCGGGCTTCTCTGAGGAAGTGTCCGGTAGCCAGCAGTTCGTTAACGGGCACAGTCAACAAGTCTGACAACGACTCACTCAACACTTCAACTGGCTCAGGATCCTGAGAGAGGCAGTGCTTTCTCTAATCAGCCGGCGCTCTCTGTGGAGTCCCAGCTGGGCAGCTGCTGGCACCAGGCTACGCAGACAGACACTCCCCTGGACCAGGCCTCAAAGAACGTGCTTTTACAATCCAGCCCGGCTATGTACTTACCTGTGAATTTCAAGTCTGGATGAAGTTCATCTTCAAACTGCTTGCCGTAGATAGAGGCACCACCTCGACCTGTCCAGTTAGAAGATGAGAAATGAAGAGCCAGTCCCACCATTCTGCCTCACAACAAGCATGGCAGCCCAGGCCCCAAGGGGTTGCAGACACTGTTAGGGGAGAGGTGGTGAACATGCCTGGTGCCCTGTTAAGTGCCCTGGAACTGCGCTGCACAGCTAGCTCAGGAAACCTTGCCAGGACACACCTGAATTTCCCGCGGTATGGTGAACCAGCAAGATAGCTGGGAGGGGAAACTACAGGGCGAAGACTTGTTAGGAACTTAAAACTTCTTTTTATAGAAGAACAGCATATATGTTGTGTAGCTACTAAATCTCTTGCCCTTGGATGGCGTGCAGTCTGAAGCAGCATTGCCCCACTCAAAAGTGGCGGTGCTCTGTTCAAAGAAGACCACACCACTTTGTATCTCAGTCGCCTGCAGTGGTGCCAACAATCCAGTCTCCCTCCCGCATCAGGTCCTGAAAGGCCTCGTAAGGCCTCTTCTGAGTTCCCCGTTCTAAGGCCTGGCCAGTAAGATCCCTATTCCAGGGACTGTGCTGAACCTGCCAAATATTGTAAACTTTGAGTGTATTCCTGGTTTGCTCCACCGACCATGACGACACTGATTTAAAAGACAAGTAAACGCCCTAAGCCAGATGGACTGCCTATCAAGTTCAAAACATACATCAACTCAGACCGCAGGTTTACCTTGACTGTTAAGACATATGTATCACAGGTTAAATACGGGGGTGGAGTGGGGGGAGGGAGGCTTCAAAACGTTCACAGAGGTATGGAATTTAAAAAATGGAATTTTCCCAGGAACTATTTGAAACCCCTTTGTATGTACTATCCCATCACACACCTGGCAGCCCACATGCCTTGTAAACAAGAGGCACGAGAAGCACATGTTCCAGGTGGGAAGCTGTTGCATTTGCTGTTTCTAAAACCAAACATTCATTTCGAATACCTTCCTTGAGCATGAGGCTCTTTTAAAAATCTATATGGGATGAATTTGACAACAGCAACTGGATCAAAAAAATAACCCCAAACCCACTCGGGCATTGAATCTATGCCAACTCATAGTGACTCTACAGGGCCGGATGGAACCGTCTCTGTGAATTTCTAAGAGATTAACTCTTTACGGAATAGAAAGTCCCGCCTTTCTCCCTCTGAGCAACTGGTGGTTTCGATCTGTTGAACTGGCAGCTAGCAGCCCACTACACCACCTTAAAAGGTAGTAAGTGTATATTCACTGGGGGGAACAACTCAGAAAAGGAAGGAGAGTACTGCTGCCAGCATGCATTTGCTACGTCTCACTCCCGACCGTGATTACTACGCTGGATTATAGTCTGAAGTAGCTCTGGTGGCTTTGTGGGTAAGTGTTGGGCTGCTAACCTCAAGGTCAGTAGTTCAAACCCCCAGCGGAGGTAAGATGAGGCTGCCTGCTTCCGTAAAAGATTTGCAGTCTCAGAACCACTATGGAGCAGATCTACTCTCCTACAAGGTCCTACAAGATCACTTTGAGTGGATTAGGATATGACAACCATGGGACGGATGCGTGGTTGGCATTGTCCCACAGGTGGTGCACGACTGTCCATCAGTCTCTCCCTGGTGATACCCAGGCCAAAGCCACCTGGAACAAAGTGCCCATCGAATGGAGGTATTTGCTGATGCTGCCTGCCTGGCAGCCAGAGACCAGCCCAGGCACAGGGAGCTCACCCCCCTTCTCAGCCTGCTGCATCGCCAAGCCATGCAGCTGGAAGCACTGTGTCCACCCCCGGAGGGCCCCCAGCATTGCTAAGGTGTTTCCATGGTAAAAGCCCTCTGCTTTACCTTTTAAGATGCTCCACCACCAGGGAGCCTGTCACAGTTGATGTTCAAGGCCCCCGTTCTCAGGAAGAGAACACTGTTCTCATGCAAAGAGGAATGGGGGTGAATCTGAACAAACCAGGAAGCCTCCCACCTGGGCCGGGCTATCTGTGCTTCTGGAAAATTACTGAATTATACCCAACTCCGTAAAAAATGCATCCCCCAAATTCCAGCATGCCAGTATACGATCAAGTGGCAATTATGTAATCAGTGTTTCCTTTGACAGGGGACCCCTTCGGCAACCACTCTGAGTCAAGGTTCCTGCTTGACACTTCCTGGGGAGAGGGGGAAGAAAGGGGTCCTGGCAGTGTTGGGGCTGAAGCTGAGGAGACAGGGCGAGGGACTGAAAACAGAGGCCAAATTGAGGTCACGCTCTCTGTGTGAGCGTTCCACAGGGCTCTGCCCCCCTGGTGCAGACTCAGCCCTCCCAGTGTGAGCCCTTCAAGCTGAGGGCGTCCAGGCCGAAACCTCAAGGTCTCCCTCTGCCTTCCCGGAACCGAGAGCCATCACCAAGACATCATCTCACACACTCACACGACAAGGGAGTGGCTGATAAAGAACCACAGGGGAAGCTTCATGGGGAGACAGAGGAAGAGCATGGTGGTGTCCCCGCCCTCACGAGGCACAGTCTGGCCTCTATGGCCAAATTCAACTCAGTAGGATTTGCAGCAAAAGGCCAGCAAGACAATTCCCATCAAAACGTCCCTTTGGGCATACAGGCAGGGGCAATCAAAAACTGTAACGTCGTTAACTGTGACTGAATTCTGTTACTTGCAGCCCAAAGCATTGCTGATACAACCACTTTGCTGGGACAGACTGAGGAAAGACTGGGCGAGTGGGTGTGCTATTGGGTCACCAGGGCAAATGCCAGGCAGCGGATTCCTTCTCCCAGAGCAGTGGTTCTCAACCTTCCTCATGGGCCACCCTTTCACACAGTTCCTCCTGTGGTGGTGACTCCCCAACCAGAACATTATCTTTGTTGCTACTTCATCACTGCCGTTTTGCTACTGGTAGGATGGCCCTTTCACAGGGGTCACCCAATTCCGAACAGGAGCAAATATGAAAGGGTCACGGCATTAGGAAGGTTGAGAACCACTGCCCTAGATGGAGGAGACGGAGACACCGAGAGAATGCAAGCTGTAACACGGGGGCTATGTCCAGAAGCAGCGGCAGAACACTGCACAGTGGGCTTCCTGGGCCTAGAACCACTTGCCTGAGTGGGGCAGAGGCTAGGCAGGAGCAAGAAGCCCAAGGGCTGAGGGCCAGAGAGACCCGCCTGCCGGCATGTCTGAGAAGATGCCAACCTGACCCAAGTCGTGTGTCCTGGGTCGCTTCTGATGCTAAACTGTACTAAACACTGCTTCCCTCATAAATCTCCTAATCTTGACTTCTATCTGGCCATGAATTATCGAGCCCGGTAGAGAACCAGAGAGCGCAGTAGAAGAATGGTGCCAGAACAGATTTAAAATGAAAAGTTGCAGGGTAAAGGCGTGCCTGACCTCTGCTTCACTGGGCGGAATCAAGGTTGGGCTGCTGATTTTGATCTTCTTTCCCTGCTGAAGTTAGGAGGCCAGACACACTCGCCACACCATTATTACACCAAGCCTCAGTTTCTGCGTGTGCAAAATGGCAATAGCAGTTGTTTTTCTATCTCATAAGGTTGTTTAGAAAAGACAGAGAGCGAGAGAATGCATGGAAACCATAGCGTGCATATGGTAACACAAAACAAACACCTGGTGACGTCTGGGTGACCAGGGTGCTGCCGTTAGGTCCCATCAAGTCGGCAGACTCAGTGACCACACAGAACACAACCCTGTCTGGGCCTGCGCCATCTTCCCAGGCGCTGCTGTGTTTGAGCCCACTGCTGTGACCACCGTGTCGGTCCATCTCATGACGGGACAGCCTCCTTTTCACGGACCCTCTACTGGTTCCAGGACGTCTCTCCTGATAACATGTCCAAGTGCAGGAGAGAAGTGCGTCTGAGAAAGGACTCTGACCGTCCTTTCACCACTTCCTGCCACCCCACCTTACTTCAAATGCATCACGTCTTCTGTGGTGTGGTCTCCCGCACTCACTCACTTCCCAGCTGTCACATGCATGCGCTGTCCTCCGTGATCCGTCTGCTCCTTAACACTGTGAAGAGGCCTTTTGTGCCTTTGGAGGAGCCCTGGTGGCACAGTGGTTAGGCGCTGGGCGGCAACCAGCAAGGTCAGCACTTGGGCAATCACCAGCAACTCAGCAGGAGAAAGATGAGGTTTTCTACTCCCTTAAATATATATACAGTCTCAGAAACGCAAAGGGGCAGTTCTACCCTATCGGCTAACTGTGACTCAGTAGCGACTCAATGGCAGTGAGTTTGATTTTGCTTTCAGAGAAGTCCTGGCAGCATGGTGGTTACGCTGGTTGGGTTACTAACTGCAAGGCCGGCAGTTGGAAACCACCCCAGCAGCTCAGAGGGAGAAAAAGAAGGCTTTTTACTCCCGCCTGGGAAACCCACAGGGGCAGTTCTACGCTGCCAAGTGGGGTCGCCATGAGTCAGAATTGACTTGATGGCAGTGGGTTTTGTGCTGTTAGAGAGCCCTGGTGGGCTGCTTTGATGCTGATAAATAATTCACGTAGCCTGTTGTTATCGACTGAATCCTGTGTCACCCCACCCCCAAATACGTGCTGTAAATTCCTCCATGCTGGTGAAGGCCTGGTGACATAGTGACACCAGCACGGCCTCCAACTGGCCTCTGTACTTCTGCCGGTACCTTCCACCTTCCTCCAAGCCACCTCCGCACAGCAGCCAAGGGAATCCAAACACCAGCTGAGCACACCAGCTTCCGCCAGGCCCTCAGCAGGGCTTACAAGAAGCTCAATGATCAGCCGTGCTGACACCTAACTCTCCAGCATCATCTCCTGCCACCTGCCCCGGCCACACTGGCCTTTCTTGCTAAGCCCACTCTGCCCTCTGGCAGGCCGCTTTTGACCAACATCCCCCATCTGAGTGTTCTTGCCCTTGACTGTCTCAGGGCTCACCATTCCCTGAATTTATTCAGAGCTTGCTCAAATGCCACCTTATCAGAGAGGCCTTCCATAATCACACGACCCAAAATAGCATCTCCGTCATGCTCCATCTTGGTGGTTCTGTCCCTGCCTACCAGGCGCTG